TTCTAAAGGAAAACATTGTCAGGATGAATAGTTAATAAAACTGGAAACATCTTAGTTAATTCATCTTTTCTTCAGCCTTGAAGGGAGATCTACCTTGTGGTAGACATCATATTTGTCCTAAGAGTGAGGCAGTAATTTGTCTCAAAGTTAAACAGAATCAAGCACAAACAAAATAACGGTAGACAAGTCAAGCTTTTATCCTACCCTTAGTTATTCATTGGACTTTTACAATGATTTTAGGGAAAGCAGCATTGAAGTGCCTTATACTTTTCTTATAATTACTGTTGAAATCTTTCTTAGCATATTTGTCATTTGTGTATAAAAGTACTACTTTTTTATCACTTAAACTTTTATCCAGTCACTTTTCTGAAGATGTTTCTTACCTATGTGAATTCCATGGTAGAATTATTGTGGTCATTTATGTATACTATATCATCAGCAACTAATGATACTTTGACTTCTTCCTTTTCAAATTGTAACCCCTTGGTCTCCTACAGTTTTCTTATTGCTCTAACTAGAAATTCAAGTACTACATTGAATTGATATGAGAAAATGGACAACCTTGCCTTTTTATGATTTATTTGGAGTTGCTTTGAGTTTCTCTCCTTTTAAGTTGATGGTGGGTATAGACTTGTTTAAAAATGCCTTTTTGTATTTATGCATATCCCTTGTATCTATGATCTCTATAAGACTTTACTCAGGGAGGAGTTTTGGATTATAGCAATGAGATGATCATGTCGGGTTTTTTTTTTCAGTTTGTTTATATGGTGGATTACATTGACAGATTTTCATATATTGAATCTTTCCTGAATCTCTGGGATGAAACCTACTAGAATTTGGTAAATGACGTTTTTGTAAATCCTTTTTAAATTAATTTTTATTTACATTAAAAATAATCTTATTTTGCATACAAATCCAGTTTCCTTTCTCTCCCTTTCTCCCATTGCTCCAAACATCCCCTCATCCCACCCTATATCCACTCCTCAGGAAGGGTGAGGTCTCCCATTCAGACGCAGCCCTGAGTTGGACAATACCAGTGCAGTAAACTCACATGGCAACATCATGACCCTCAAAGACACACCTGGCCTCAGGTGATGGCCCAGACCCCGGGTATTCACACTAACTTTGGTGGTAACCAGAGCGAAAAGCATCAACACACACACCCTGTGTGCTGTAGGTCCCTGGATCCAGATATGTCCCCACACCACAGACTGAGTCCCACCATACTATGGACCCAAATATCAGCAAAGTCACTCAGATAAGCAAGGCCTTTGTAGTAGGATATATCATAGACATCATCATGGACTCAGGTGGCTGACTAGAACACAGGGCATCTGCAGGGTCTTGAGTGGTTACTAAAGCTATGAATATCAACTCAGACCCTGGCTGAAGTAGGTCCATGGGCCAAGACATGGCTCTTGGGAGCAACCCAGTCTTGGATATCATCATGACCCAGGGGGCAGCACAAGCCACTTACATCAGCATGGCCCAGGTAGTGGTACAGCCCTGGGACACCAACATGGCCACAGATGGTGAGCCAAACCCCAGTCATTCTTGAGGCCTCTGATGGCACAATGGATCATGACTATCAACAAAGAACCTGGCTGCAGTAGGACCACAGATGCAGACATGACCCTTAGCAGAAGCCTGAGCCTAGATGTCACCCTGACCCCTAGTGGCAAGCAGTCTACCAATATCAGCCTGTTCCCCAATACCTTCACCTCATCAGCTCTGCTTATCTCCACAGCACAGGAATTATTCCACCTCTCTTTCTCTCCCATTTCTCTCCACTATCTATCTGCTCATCCTACTGGCACTGACATGGCCATCAACATGAGGTTCAAGATACTCTTTTGGATGCCTTCATCCAGCACTGACTGTAGTGAGCCAGGCATGCCCAAGTGTGCCTTTTGCCTGCCCAAACCAAAGGTCAAGAAAACTTCTAAATGAACATTTTCATTTGAGCCTTGACAGCTGATACTCACCCTTCAATATTTTGAGTTTTAATGAGTTGTTTTATGCATTCACACAGATTTTGTGATTCAAATTTTCTCTCAGGGTTTGCATGTAAAATTTTTTTTCATGGGATCAAATGTTTGCATACTATGTTCACAGTGGTCAGGTTGCTTTATTAGGCTTTGGAAACACTTTGAATGAAGGTTTATTTTGTCTTTGGAGAAAAGGAGAGCAAATACTTGAGGCTTAGAGCTTGTCCCTTCTTCAAGTGTTATCTGCCACCAAGTCAACAAGAATGTGAAGAGGGGCACTTCACACTCCATTCCAAATGGCCAAGCCTTCAGATTTAAAGCCTTTTCCTGTCATGTTGCGCTAAACCCTCCTGAAACAAGGAGCCAAGCTTTGCATTTCTCCAAACTTTATGTCCTTGCTGTCAGTTATTCTTCCACAGCAATAAGAATGATACTAATATGGATTCCCACAGGCTTGTTTGTACAGTTTGCTTTTTATCCATCTTTCCTGAAATCCTTAGATCCCAGAAATATCAAATATTTCCTCACTAACAAATTCTAAAGTACACACATAACAAAGTTTACAGCTTTCTGTGACCATACAACCCCTATAAGAAGCCGTCACATAGCAACTGACAATTTCTTTATATTCCCTCTCCCATTATAGACATAAAAGTTAAAGTATCATGCTTAATACTTATCCATCCAGATTTCCTTTTCTCCTTCACATGGTTAGGTGTTTAAACAGAAGCAGTTATTTAACTCATGATAATTTGTATCAATTTTAAATTACTCTTTGTTCAATATCTAATACAACATATTTCTGATAATTTTGAAAGCAAATGTTTTTTAATGTAAAAAGTATTCAAAATATTATGGACAATGAAATGGTTATTTAACTCTGTTGCTTAGACTGTATAGCAGCAATTTTATAGTTTTACTGCTTAATTGCTAAATAGAAAAGTTGATATGTGAGTATGTATCTTATAACATGCTACTATCTCATGTGTTTAACTCTTTACTAGTAGCATAGTGCATATAAGGTACAATTACATAGCTACATGGAAGAGATATACCTTTTATCCACAGCACTAAAGAGTTCATGGTGATTCAGTTGGTGGTGGTAGTAGTAGTAGAATGTGATATTTACTCTCTCTCTCTCTCTCTCTTTCTCTCTCTCTATCTCTCTCTCTCATGTCTGTGTGTTAGGGCAGGCAGAATCATTTTCTTTATGGGTTAGTCAATATTAATGAGTGTGTCCAGTGTGATACGTCTTATCTGTCTACTTTCTTGTTTTAAATTGGGTCTTGAGACTACATTGAGTTGCAACCAAACAAAATCATATACAGCTAATGTTTAGAGTTCAGTCAAGCATATTAGTGTCATTTCCTTACAAGCTATATTTATTATCATTACACTTCACTAGTGGAACTGGACCTACTGGTCACTATATAGAGGCTTTAAAGAACTGAATATTGCCTGGGGAATTGTTTTTGACAGTGGTTTTGAAAATTGCACATGTATCTCATAAGGGGAAATGCCTTTATTTTCTTATTGGATGACATGGATATGTGATTTGTTCCAATATATAATTATTCTTGGTGGGATAAGATAAAAGGGAAATGGACATTGCTTCCATGACTTTGATTCTAGCCATTCTTTATAACAGAGCCCATGACACCTTATTAATATAATTGACAGTAGTTGTACATTATGAAAACCTCATGGTAAAGATTGTATTTTCTCTACAGATGAAAATTGATTAAATATTAAACACAAATCATTCTACAGATAAATCATAGAATCTTCAGAAAGATTCCATAAACAGTGAAGAAATCATATGTGCTTGAATACACTGAGTGGTAAATTCACCAAGAGAAATCTTTCATTGGCAAGTGTTTTTACTATAATTTTATTTGGCTCCATATCTTCTTTATAGATGATGATGGGAACAATGTTCAAGAAGCAGTTATAGGTGATGTTTTACTGGACCACAAGGATGCTGACATACACACTATGACCATTGGTGTATGGAATTTTCCTGTGGAGAAACAACACCTACTCACACCAGATGAACAACCAAAGAAAGAGCAAAGTAATTCTACCAAAGTACAACTGTTTGCACCAATGGGTTTATTGGGATTACTTACTTATAGCAGCTGGAGGACTAAAAGACAGTTGCATCAACAAAATGCTTCCATACCCAATTATAGTGAAAACTCACAGAAGCTACAACCCTGCTGCTCAATGCATAAAGTTCAAATAGCTTTGCAGATCACAGAGCTACATTCAGATTCTTGGGATAGTCAGAGAGTCTTTAAGGAAAGAGACTTGTGTTTTATTAAACTTTTTAGAACCTGTAAGGTGATTTAGACTTATTCCTTAGACCCATGAGCCAGAATCCTCTAGCCTGTAAGTAATGCTTCTATTCAGGAGAAACTGTTAAAAAAAACAGCCATACAAAATTCTGCCTTTCCGTGGTTGCTCTGATAGTACTCTCAACCTGATTGGATTTCTTTTTTAGAACTTGTCTCATATGATCTTTCTCCATGCTTGTCTTTATCTAAGCATTTGGTAGTACATTGAGGATTGGGTAAAATCTCCAGAATGCTCTGGACTTATAAGTTAGATTCCTAAACCTTCTAATTAGTAGAAAGACAAGCGCAGAAACTTTGAGTTAGCTCTTCCTGATTGATTACATGGTACTCCCATGTAATTTTTTGTGGATGTTATTATTTTTGTTTGTAAATAAACCAGGTCAGGAGTATTAAATAACCGGATATTGAAACTTACAAAAAATAATCAATCCTTTTGGAAATGATATTCTCCAAATGATAACAGTTTTAGCATAAGAAAGAAGAAACTGGTACAATGATTTTATATGTTAGTCACATATAATTTAAATTTCTAATCATAGATAATATCAGCCTTATTCTGAGTGTTCATTTTCTAAGGACAAAAATGTTTATCTACACTTATCTTTCCAAGGTCAAAAACTGCAAAATTATTTTTAACTTGTGAGGCACTATAACACTAACAGATAGTTTGAAGTATTAAATGAAGTGAATCTTTTGAGCAGAGATTTTGCTGTAACCTTTTCAGAGCGCACTTGATGTCACTGTTCCTCAGGCTGTAGATCACAGGATTAAGTGCTGGAGGCAACACAGTATAGAGCACAGAAAACAATTTGTCTGTAACTAATGGTGTTTTTGAGGGAGGCTTCAGATAAACAAAACAAGCAGTAGCAAAGAAAATAGTGAAAACAGTGAGGTGTGGGATGCAGGTGGAAAACACTTTAGACTGACCTTTAGTAGTGGAAATCTTCATCACAGTGCAGAAAATGTAAAAGTAAGAGATCATCAAACAAATAAAGCAAGACATGCCTAGACACATACCAAGCCCAAGACTTGTATAAATGACCACAAGTGTTTTAGAGCAGGAGATCCTTAACAATGAGGGAACATCACAAAAAAACTGTAGGATCACATTGGAGTTACAGAAATTCATGGAAAAGGTGACAGCTGTGTATAGAATTCCAAATAGTAGCCCAGTAGCCCAGGAAACACACATCATCAACATACAGGTACAACTACTCATGATGGCCTCATAGTGCAGAGGACAACAGATGGCAACGTAGCGGTCATAGGACATGGCAGTCAGGAAAAATACCTCACTTGCTAAGAAGGAAGTCATGAAAAGTGTCTGGAAGGCACAACCCAGAAAAGAGATGGAACTGTTATGAATTATACTATTGACAAAGAAACTTGGGATAGAGACAGACATAAGAAAGATGTCTAACAGGGACAAATTCTTTATAAAGAAGTACATGGGTGTTTGGAGCTTCAGATCCAGGGTTATGAGAGTGATTATGAGGAAATTACTCATCAGGACTTCTAGGTACATTACCAAAAGGAACACTCCACAGACAGTCTGTAGCTCTTGGGTGTCTGAAAATCCCATAAGGATGAATTCTGTTATTCTAGTGAAGTTTGGCATTCTCAGTCCTTCAAATGGCCTGTCAGGTAGGAGAAATAAACAAAACTTGACACAGTACCAAATATTCAGTTGAATGTTCAGTTGAAATGGATCCAGAGTACAATACAAGCATTTCTCCATTTCTATAGTTTCCAATCTTATCTTTCCATAAGAGGGTACTTTCACTTTACATATAAATTTGTACTTTGTAAATGGAATTCTTAATTGGTATAAGCAATAAAAAGCCCAGGGTGAGATATAGAGGAAAATGCTGAGATATCATATTGAAGGAGTAAGTCATAGCCACATCTTATTTCCTTAATGTCTCAGCAGACAAGAGTGTGGGTTCCTGTTTCTCCCTGTTATATCCTGGTTCCATCCAACTCTCTCATTTGCTTTCTGTCTGTACAGACATCCTGACCACTACATTTAACTAGTGGCAAGCTCCATTCTCTGACCTTCAGACAGGCTTTATTTGTAAAAGCAAGAAATCATCACAGTACTTATTTTTCATTCATATCATTTTAATCTACCGTGTATTATAACAATTTTTTAGAAAAATGATAACAGATATAAATGGTGCTTTTCCTAATAGAAATGACACTTTACCTGAAACTGTCATTACCCAGTAAGCAACAAACTAAAGGATAATATCATATATTTTCTCCCTTCTGTCTTCTTTCTTTTGTCTTAATTTTGGGTGAGATCACTATTTAATTTTGCATAGCCACACTTATCATTCAAAGAGTGTTCAAATAATGCTTATAGTATTTTTAAAAGTTTGTCAAATTCCACCTTTAATTATGTGTTCTGGACCTTTTGAATGGCACATGCATCCCTATATTCATTGGTTTTAATCTTTGTGAAAAAGAAGTTTTCTTCATGCAAATCCTGCAATGGTGAGCCCACAAGCAAGAGCAATCAACTCCGAAGGACCAACTTGTTTCATTTCAAGACCGTATATATGATACAAGAACATCTTTCAGTAAACACAAGTGTTCTGCTTCCCAACAGAAGCCTTTTCTCTGGATCAAATATGGATTGACCCCAATTCAGCCTCAGAAATTTTCTTATTACTGATAAGATTCTTCATGCTCAGAACTGAGATAACTATCTACCTGGCCATTATTTGAACAGAAGAGCTTGAGAATCCACAGCTCTTATTCTTTTGGGGTAATACTCTTGAAGTTCTGCTCACTACTTTTAAATACATAGTTGCCTTATATATTTATATTATCAAACTCCTTGCCGAATTTTACAATTGTTTTATTTGTTTCTGTATTGATTACCCACTCCTATTCCAATGACATAAGATTTCCAAAACAAAATAATATAAGTTTCTTTCTTAAGAAAGTAATATTATCCATCACATTACATTTATGTGTGAAATAGTCATAGTTATAGTTATAGCTCTACTATACTTATATTAAATAGTCCAACATTTGCAAATGAGAATCACTGTCCCCGTGAGTTTAAATAATGTCATATAAACACAGATTTGCTGTTAAATATTTATATCACCTTAAATTCATACAAATATTTAACATATCACTGAGTTTGTTAACAAATGAGAGTTAAGGCCTCCTGAAGAATGGGAGAAGTGGTTTCCACATTGAAGAGCACGTGTGTTCATTATTGTACACACACACACACACACATATATATACATATATATATATATGATTGTAATATCTATTAGTGAAACAAAGCAACAACAACAAAATAAACCATGAGTTTGAAAGAGAGAAATGAAGTATATGGGAGGGCTTGTGATAAAGGAAGGGAAGGGAGAAATATTGTATGCAATTATATTCTCAAAAATTAAAAACAAATGAGAAGACAAAATTAAAGAGAAAGGTGAGTGGCAGGAGACTTGGCTCAGCCTAACAATAATGACAAAAACAAAAAACAACAACAAAACAAAAACACTTGCTGCTCTAGTAGAGGATATAATTTCAGTCTCCAAAGTCTACTTAGTAGCTCAAAACTGACTATACCTCCAGTTCCAAGGAACTTGAAACCTATTTGTGTTGTTTGCTGGCACCAGGCAGGCACAGTAAACACAAACATAAATGAAAAAAAACTGCAAATACTCAGAAAATAAAAATAATAGGTATGTATTGAAGAAAGGAGACAATTTAGAACACATTTTGAGTTGTTTGGCTACACACATTTGTATTAGAGACATGTGAGGATTCCTTGATATTTTGTTTGCAAAGGAATCTTCAGAAGTGAACAAATTAAAATATTTCTTCCATTTGTTCCTCCATATTTTTCTTTATAACTTCATGTTTTATGGAATCAAGTTTTCTCACAATCCAACATACTATGATATTCTATGTATATTTAAGATATATTTGTATAATACTGTTAACTAGGTTTAGGTATTGATTAATCTTTATTGAAATAATATTCAGTGTTACATATATATTAGACGTGATGCTAAATGGTAGTGAAAAAAATTGTGGAGCAGTCGAATGCTTGTTCTTCCAAGGAGGAGGTCAAATATCAGTAAGTTAAAATAATTTACAAAACAAAGAAACAAATTCCTAGTACAGTGACATAGCAAAGTTTATCGACTAGCTATATGGCTGCTTGATTTAAATAAAAGCCTTTGATTCACACAAAATGCAGAGGACAACGGAACAGGACAGATATCTCTGGAGAAGATATTTTAACAAGAATAGTTCTAGTACGAAATAAAGATAGGTCTTGTTTAGGATATTTCAGAAGCAGTGGTGAGTGGAGAGAAACTGTGGTAGGAAGAAACCATGAAGAAGAAGAAACATGAAAAAAATACAAAAACAGTGAAGAAATTGTTTACAAATTATATTGTTTTAGGTATCTATACTAATTCTCTAATGTTCGTAATATTTATGATGCTTAAAATCTTTCATGTAAAAATGCATTTTAATATTTTATAATCAGAAATTTATGATCAGTACTTTAAAAACAATTTTGATTCCTCAAATTACTGGAAAAGAGATTGTTCAACAGACTTATAGAGGAATATTTTTCAAGATTTCCAATTTGACAGTCAAAATTTCTCATAGACATTAACATTCAGATTATTGGTGGATCACCAAAAGTTTGCAAATTCTCTAATCATAACATATGATGATGATTTAGCCTTCCAATAAGACTCAAAAGTCTATGCAAAGCTGTAATCATTTCTTAATACAGAATAAAACAGGTACAAACAATAAAATCATTTACCGTCGTATAAATTTCAGTTGGATTTTCTTTGAAGCACTGTGTAATCCAAAGGTCTGAAAAGATCTTTTTAAGGCATTTGTCTGCAATCGTGAGATTCCCAAAGGAAAATCTTTCTGAATGGACTTCCTTATTATTCACCTTTCTCTTAAGACAATTAGTGTTATAATAATTGGTGCTTTTGTAGGAGAGACTGATCATTGCCCTGAAAATATGCCAGGACAGATCATGAAGAACATGGGTTACACTTTTCCCCAGATTGTACTAAACTATCTATATACACTCTAAATTATACTGGAAAAAAGTTATAGTTGTTAGTAAACATTAGAATGTATCTAGAAATTTTGCCAGAGGACATTTGCCATATATTTATGTTATTCGTTGTTTTATCATTATTATAACAAATACCTAAAACAGAAAACACATCTTAAGGAAAACAAGGTTTACTTGTGCACATATTTGAGTGCACAAATACATCATGATAGAAAAGGTATAATGTCAGAAGTTTGGGGTGGCAGGTCATATTATTCCTAAATTATGAAGTAGGAAGGCACATGCTATGGCTCTGGTGATGCTTGGCTCACTCTTTCCTCTTTATTCACTTAAGAACCACAGTGAAGAGTATAGTATCTCTAACACAAATAGTCTACTTTCTAGTTCATTCAGTACTATTTGGAAAGTCCATCATGAGCATGACAAAAATTTCGAAGAGTTCTACTATTGTCAACATTTTGAGATTTCCATTGAAACTTGTCTTCACTTTTTAGGTGTGTGCAGTGGCCTTTCAAGGACTCGTTGTGGGAGATTTGACATTACCACACATTCCCTAGCCTCAGCAGCTTTCTGGAACTTTTTTTTTGCAAGTTTCACATCCTCCTTACTCTTGAATATTTCCTGACTGTTAAACCAGTACCACATGGATGGCTCTCTCGTGTTAGCCTATTGCATGCTGAAGCTGTAGTCTGGACACTTAAATAACAATTACAGTGTCTTCCATATGCTTTTGATGGTAACCTCTGGGAACACATTCCTAAATGGCCATCTTAGATCAAAGAAATCCTATGGCATATTTATTTCTAGTTATTTCATTTGAAGGGAATTTAAATTTGAATAATTTGTAGTTTTTGATAAGTAAGTTTTGCCATTAGATCAATCTTCCTGTTGTCTGCATGGGTTGTCTGCATGGAAATGGGTTGGAGCATGTCCCATTTCCTTAGTTGGACTGCACCATTTAGGAATTATAAATTATATTTACCATCTTCACTTACAAATTCCAACTTGCTTATCCTGATTTCATAAATAAACTGCACATTTTCTATGTCTTCTGGCTCTTTAACACAATAGACTTGAATAAAAATAAATAGCAAAAATTAGGGAAAGCTATAGGGAAAAACTTCACAGACACAAAATACAAATAGGTATAGGAAATCTATATAAAAAGGTTGGTCCTATCCCAAGTGAAGTGACAGACTTTGATGAGTACCGATAGGAGGCCTCATCATCTCTGAGAAGTGGATTGGGTGTTAGAAGGTGGGTTGATGGGTAAAATGGGAGGATAGGATGGAGAGGGAACTGGGATTGATATGTAAAATAAGGTTGTTTTAAAAATAAAATAAAAAATTTTAAAAATTGAGGAATGAGCATGAAACAGCAGAAAGAATGATCTTCTGGGTACCATGTTAGGGCAGGTAGAATCATTTTCTTAAGGTGTTAGTTAATGTTAATGTGTGTGTTCAGTGTGTTGTATCTTATTTGTCTCCCTTTTTCTATAAAGTAGACCTTGAAATTACATTGAGCTACAATTAACC